CGCTGTGGCAGGGAAGCAGGTGGGCAGACCCTCCAGAGGGGAAGTCAGGGACCACCAAGGGCAGACAGGGTTCCAGGCGAGAAGAACCAGGGCCTGAATGAGAAGCCGGGCCCAGGGCGCAGGGACTGGAGAGTGCGTGTCAGGTGTCCCGTTCCCCTCCCACCCCCACCCACCCATCTCATGCCAGAACGGGACCGACACCAATAAGCTACAGTGCAGAGGCTAGTCACCCGAGAGGACACCATTTCCCCTGCGTGGACGCGTGAATCCCTGCGGCTAGAGACAGACCCCGGACCCGGCTCCCCCGGCTGCAGCAGGGAAGGAGGTGGTATGCGGGGCGCTGTCTGGCCCTGAGCCTCTCCCCTTTTGGCTCCTCCCAGCTGCTGCTTACACAGATAAAGCTTCAAGAGGCTGCAGAGCAACAGGAGGAAAAGAGCCTGGGCCCTAAGTGAGCACGAGAAGCTGAGGGCCCCCCCAACCCCCGTCCTCACAAACCACCCACTTCAAAAGCTCTATGACAGGCCCGGCCAGCATGGCTCAGAGGTTGGGCATCAACCTATGAACCAGGAGGTCACAGTTCGATTCCCGGTCAGGGCACATGCCTGGGTTGCAGGCTCGATCCTCAGTGTGGGGCCTGCAGGAGGCAGCTGATCGATGATTCATCACTGATGTTTCTCTCTCTCGCTCGCTCTCTCTCTCTCTCTCTCTCTCTTCCTTACTCTCTATAAAATACATAAAAATATATTTTTAAAAACAAAAAAAAAAGCTCTATGATAGAAGCAACCCAAATGTCCTTCACCTGGCGGATAGAAAAACAAACTCTGGCCGGACAGCGGAACACTGTACTGCTTGGCAGTGAGAAGGGCACACCGTTCACACACACAGGGTGGATCTCGGTGTGCCGGGTTCAAGGCTATGCTGGGTAAGTCATTTACATGATGCTTTGGAAGAGACAAAACTACAGGAACAAAAGTGATCAGTAGTTTCCAGGCCCCAAGCAGCAGGTGACAGCCAAAAGGCATGGGGCCTGGCATGGGGATGCCCGTGGTGACAGGGCTGTTCCGGTTCTCACCTGCAGGCATGTTAATGGCTCATGCATTTGTCAAACTGCACACTAAAAAGGGTACGTTTTACCACATGTAAATTATACCTGTTTTTAAAAGAAAGAAGAAAGCGCTGTGAGAATTAAAGTGCTCTCTCCTTTAAACCACCAATTCGGTCTCTCTTACAACAGCTTAGTGTCAGAGTAAGTCTCTCCTTGGCCCTGCCGGCTGCACTAATTGTGGGAGCACTCACTCCTTCGTCCTACTCCCCTTTACTAGCAGTTGGGTCTGAGTCCTTGTGCCAGGGGCTGGATCTCCTTGGACGCTGGGTATCGAACAGAGAAGACGTAAGAAATTGTAGGCGTATAAGAGAGTCTTTATTGCAGCCCAAGTAGCCATTGCTATTAAAGAGCCATTAGACAAAGCAGTTCTTGCTAACACAGTAGCAAACACAAAGAAGTCCTTGCTAATACAGTAGCAAACACAGGAGCCATCCTAGCAATACATCCTCCCACAAAGCAGCCGCCAACATAGGAGCCATAGAAAGCAGCCGCACACCAGCCGGTCAGTAACACACCGTAGGCTAACTCAGACAAAAGAGGCCTCCTGTGAACAGTGACCTGTCTTCTGGGTTAAAGGAGAGCAGCCGCACAGTGCACAGACTGCCGCATCCTTGCTTTTGCACCTGCGTACAGGAAATGAGCCCTGAACACCCTAACTAGGATTCCCACGCTCAGAGTGGCCTTGAGCATCCGGCGTACACGGGATGATTAGGGTTCCTAACACTAGGTTTTCCTAGTTTAAGGCAGCCATCAAGAAAGTAAAAGAACACTGATGCATTTTAGAAAGCAAATGAACTCCTCCATTACTACTCCAAAGTGAAAATCTGCCCCTGGCCTTAAGTGAACGGAGTTCACTCACCCAGACTCCAGGCTGTCTGGGGCGTAGCCCCTCAACGCGGCAGTCGCCTACACGGGGTCTGAAACGATTCCTTAGGGGCTGGTAACAAGAACAAGGCTGACAAACACTGGACTAAGTGGATCTCACAATCAAACGATGGTCAGAATAGAAATTCATGACCTGGGGACTCGGCAAGGTCAGAATCTAAGCAGAACCCCATCCTGTGGTGCCTCCGCCTCCAAGCTCGAAAGGTAGTTAGTGGTGACACGTGGCAAGTCCCTCCACTCGCTGAGCCTGGCTTTCGCAGCTGGAATGGAACAGGCTCAGCAAACGCGAGGTGGTAGCCAGGTGTCCTGGATGGCTGACCCTGACCAGCTGGCATGGCTGCCAGAGCGCAGCCTGGAGGACACACTGAGCTCACCTGCGTTCAGGAAGAGCCCGCCCTGCTGAATGGCTGAGTCCGCCCTGGGAGAGGGAAGCGCCGGGAGCCGGTCCAAGGTCACCTCTCTGAGAAAGGTTGTTTCCCCAGGTAGGGATTTACCCCAGAAGTTAGGGAGGGAATAAAACCCCTTAATCGCCAGGCGGGTAATTAATCACTTTAACTACGAACAATCATGCTTAAGCTACATAATCTTTACTCCCTGGAATGGAGATAAGAAACGCCCTAACCTTTGGAATAGAGATTGATAGGATTAGAATCAACTGGTATAAATACAGATGCAACAAGACAACAGGCAGGCAGACCTCAGAAGGCAGACCTCAGAAGACAGACCTTAGAAGACAGAACTACAAAACAACAGGAGTTAGAACCTAGAGAGGCAGACCCGAGAGACAGAACTTACAGACAGAACTAGAGAACCTAGCGAGAGAACATGGCCACAGAACCTGGCTGGAGATCCTAACCAGAACTTCGCTGGAGATCCTGACTAGAACTTGGCTGGAGATCCTGGCTAGGCTGCTGATCAACTGAACATTGTCTCCGTGTCATTCCTTCTTTGCCGACTCCGTCCACACCTTTGGGAACCCCTGGACCTGCTGGGTTTGGACCCCGGCAGGGGAGGAGTGTCCCCGCAGGTTGCAAAATTCAAGTGTTTATAGCGCACACAACGCTCCCTGTACGGCCCGTACCAGCGCTCACAGCAGCAGCACGTGTCGTTAATGACGTGCAGGGTGCACACGGGCACAACGCAGCCGTCAGCAGAGGCCCGAAAGGAGGGAAAGCCCAGGCCTCGCCCTGTCCCCAGCCTGATGGACAGTGGGCCGGGCCGGGGGCATCTCTCCATCTTCTTAGAAGTGACAGACAAATCTGAGTTCTCTCTCCTCACATGTGTGGTAAACCAAGAAAATGTAGTTAGCAATAAGCAATACCGCACGGCACGCAAGGCCCGCCCTGTTCCATTAGGACCTGCGTGCCCTGGTCCATGTGCCAGAACTTGAGCCGGTGAAGCAAACTGACCGCCAAAGACAGGACATGGTGAGGCCTTCCGCCACCAGGAACAAGGCCCCTTCCAACTTGGCCTCAGCCACTTTCCAACCTCCATCCCGGGTCAACATTCCCAAAGCTCCAGGAACTGGCCCCTGGAAGTGATCCCTGTTTTGGTCGTGCATCAAGCTCAGTGCTTGTACATTCTATGGTCCCTGCTCAAAAGACCTCTTCCCTCCCTAATTTTGTCCAATAAATAAACCTGAAGTTCAAAACACTGTAACGACTTTGTTCCCCCATGAAACTAATTAGGTTGATGAAATGATACATCATCAAACTGACTCATTCCACACATTCCACAAGCATGGAAATTGAGGTGGAAATGGCGGCGACTTGCTCTGGGCAGGACCTGGATGCACAGGGTGAGTGCTGGAAGAATAGGGCCGGAGCAGTCCTGACTGCAACCATTTCAGGCAAAGCAGTCATTTTAACGTCACCTTCAGCCTACACACAGCCCTCCCTCAGCCCCTCCCACTGTGCGTGAGCCAGCTGCGAGAAACACACCTGGAGGAGGCAGCCAGCAGGCCCCTGCAGCAGGACAGTCAGGCTGGAACCGCCAGCCAAGTGCAGTGCCACGAGGGGAGTCCGCCCTCTCACCGAACTCTGAGTGTCAGACTGTGTGACAGGGAGGCATGAAAACTGCGGTCCAGGGGAAAGGGGGCAGGGGAGGCCTGGGCCCCGGGAATGGAAGTCGCGCCTGGCGACCGGGTGCAGCACTCCCATGTGTTCCCACCCCGCGCACAGCAGAGCTGGGGTCCAGAGGCCGCAGCGCCCGCAGGCAG